TTAAGGTGGCTCGTACCAGTTTCCTCGCGCGGGGAACAGGTCACTCTTGCGTGACGCGCGCGAGAGAAACGTGCGAAAGAAGCGCGAGATCAAAAGATGAAAATTCAAAACAAAGATGGCGGCGCGTGGAATTTTTTCTACTTTTGTGAGAAGTTTACCTAAGAGCTTGTATTTGATGTGTTGAGCGGCCACTGTGAATGCAGGAGATAGAAACTAAGATAACGAAGACGATTTTCGGAGAAGTAAAGGTTGCTTCACTTCACATTTAAAAGAAATATTCAACCGATATGAAATCTTGCGACGGCGAAAAAAGAAGAACTCAAGTGAAGGATAATCTACCTGAAGTGGAAGAAGACTTTGAAACTTCAAGGAAAATAATATGATATAGCCAGAAGTCATGTGTAGGATTTTTAAGATGAGCTCGGGAGGCTGTCTTTGACGGCTGTTTAATGATTTTCTTAGCAGTAAACGTCTGTAAACATCAGATCGTAGGTGCTCGCGCGAGCACACGCAATTGTCAGCGGTAGCTAAAACAGATCATGAGCAAATGTCGATCTTATAGAATCCAGATTTTTAAATGCGCGAGAACGCGCGTGGAAATTGCTAAACTCATGAAAGCTATTGCATGAAAACAAGTGCGGTGACCCCTTCTTTTTATTGTTCCAATATGATAATAATGTCGAAAGGAATCATCAGAAAAAAGAAATAGAAAATTCTACGGAAGGAAATTTGCGATGTGTGAAAATTGCCCTTTTTGTAGATTTTCTGAAATTCCGCTCCGTAGAATGTTTTAAAAATCTTTGTGCATTTTCCTTTTCAAGTGCCAAAAGCAGTCACTGAAAAAAATCAGGGGGTCACCGGGTTAGTTTTCGAATTATTTAAGCCACAAGCTAAAAAATGCGTCTGAATAAGCCTATGAAAGCGTTACCATGGAAACTGCTAGTAACGAAATGACACTGATTTATGGATAACCAATGATTATGTAATTCAACCCCGTAAAAGTGTTCAACTGGCCTTCGTCAGTCTTTCTGTTGCATTCTTTCAAAGTTACAAACCATCAAAAAGATGAAAACCGGTACGAGCCACCATAAGAACTTTCGCTACAATAATGATGCTCACGACGGTAAGGATGTAAACAAATTTATTGAAGCGAGCGATGAGACGCAAACAACGTTGAAAAGAAGCGATGCGTAGCGAAGCATCGAGTGGGCGATATAAAGATAATATACAAAGCGGTTTCGAGGAGATAAATACAGCGAAAAACTATAGTTAGATCGACTAGAAATTATCTTAGAACTACGAAAACAAACTTTAGTTTTCGGTAATACGATATACACATGCACAAAGTGAATGACTTACTTCTGTGTCCGCGTTAGGGATTTCACAGCTTTGACGTTGAGCTTTACGGATCTTAACACGATGACACGTTGACTAGAACTGAAAAGTTTCCTGAGCACATTCGACAAAACTAACCAATACAAAGAATAATAGACTTCTGCGGCAGAAAAACCACAAACGCCAAAGATGATAACGCAAAAGAAACTACAAAGGGTTGAAAAGTAAATGCGAAAAACCAGAAAATATTTGGCAGTAACACTTTCATATATATTTCTATTTAGGTATTCTTTGTTTTTAAAGGGAGGCTCGATGATATTCATATAATACCGCCCCAGCCCTCACTCTTCCCCTATCAATTTTCTATGCAATGTTCTGTTTCTGAGCTCTCTTGGATATTGTAAATCGCATCGACAGCTTATCAAAAATATCATCGAGCCGGCGAGAGTTCCGAGTACAGACAAATGGCCAATTTCCGATGCACTAAATGTTGCTTCCTGCATCATCAAAATGGAACCAATACAATGCGTCTTTGTTTTGTTTTATTGTTTCTGTTTTTACGCGGGACCTTGCAAAAAAGTGTTCCGTGGAAGCACTCATCTTACGGCTGACGGATCTTCAATTTCAAACGCAATTAGAAATAGTGTTACCCACAACAGACCCATCACATCCCGGGGGAAGGAGGAGGTCATCATGTACAAACGATCCCAGTTACCGTAACAAAGAAGTTGCTGCTCTATATATCTCAGGGAACCCCCTCTCTCCAGTTAGTCCGTACCCTCTAAGAATATGGGAGAAGGATGTTCAAAGTGCACAATAACGCAACCAAAAGGCTCGGGAAGACCCGAACTTCTCTGTCTAAAGTCGAGAGCGCTAGCTGTTTTGTCCCCCCCCCCCTCCCCTCTGTCTTCAAGCTAATGAATAATTTATTTTTCCTTAATAGACCCGGTGACTTCAGCTCAGACAGTATTCCTCTTTTCCTTTTCGGTGTTGACCGCGGTTTTAAATTCCCTGGTGATAATAACAATCTGGAAAGATCCATTCAAGCAGCTTAAAGGAACAGCCAACAGTCTCATCCTAAATCTGGCTGTTTGTGATCTACTCATGGGTTTTCCAACAGAGTTACTTTTTGCTATTCTTCACTGGTTTCCTGGTAATAAGGATGTCATCAAGGCAGGGTACGTCACGATGTATCTTGCTATTTGTGCTTCATTTCTTACAATCCTGGGCCTGGCAGTTGAAAGACTTATCGTCATATCATCCGGTAAGAATGAAGATTCCTCGGCGACGAGTTATCACGCCATAGGCATCATGTCCATCTGGCTTCTCGCTGGGCTAACAGCCTCCCTTCCTTTACTCGGGTGGAACTCACTTAATAGTTATAGAATGTTTATCATAGATGCTATCGGAGTTCCTGTATTGATACTATTATTTGCTTGCTACACACGGATCTTTCTGCTGGTCAGAAAACAGCTGCGCCGACATTTTGGAACAGGTGATCAAAGAAGGGAGTTGCATCCTCTAACAGCAAACAGTCAACGAATGGAAAGACTTAAAAGGAAAGAGAGGAGCGTGGCTCTCTCTGTATTTGTACTCATTGGTTTATTTACCTTATGCTGGAGTCCGCTTTTCGTTGTGGAAAATATCAGAGAGTGTTGTGATCACGAAGACTGCATTCCCAGTAAAATTATCGTAATATTCCAATGCTTGATATTTGCACATCCATTGGCCAATCCTATCGCTTACGCTCTACGTACGGTAAAATTTCGACGCGCACTTAAGAGAATTTTCAGACGCACCGACAATAATTGATTGTTTAGACCAAAGAACAACTTAGAAGGCTGTGTAACTCTTTAACACGGACAACTCTTTCGTTATTTAGTTTACCAAAACTTACCTTACTGATGCCCCCATCATTCACACCCGAAAAATATGTTTAGTTTAATCAGGTTTGACCGGAAAAAAAGGCAACCGAAAAGAAAGAGACCGAATTTTATTTAGGTTCAAGTAATCACCAGCTTTTATTTTGTCTTAGTGTGGATATCTTTAAAACCCGTTACTTACCGAGATATGTGAGGGTACTATTGCTTTGTTTTCGGAAACTTTCACAACAATAAAACCTTTACTTATACTTACACTTCAGTAGTCACATCAAAATCACTGGTATATGCTTGCAAGATCCTAATGCGACTATGAAAGATTTCTTAAAGGACATGCTTTCATTTGTTTTGTTTTGTTTTGTTTGTTTGTTGCTGTTGTTGTTTTTTTGTTGTTGTTGTTATTTTTTGGCTTCGCCATCCCACGGCTTCGATCACATATCGAGAAAAACATGGGCCTCTGAATGAGAGCATATCAAGACCATTCTTAGCGTAGATTTTCAGGGGCAGTGCTCAATCTAGGAAGCGGGGCGCAAGAACCTCCGGCATTCCTGAATAGAACTAAGGGTAAATCTTTTGCCTTATCCTGTTACTTTGTAGTGTACTTTGACACTCAGGATTCTTAGTCGGTACCGACCAACTGTCAGTGAGACCAAGGACATCGGTAAAGCCTGGTTCTGACTAGCGACCGCAAGCACAAACGCAAGCATAACAACTTTTATTTCACTGTGAAAACGGCCTCGACGCCAAACTCAAATACAAGCACGACCACAAGGATCGTTTTTTTTTCTTTTTTCTTGTGCTACTGCTTGTGCTTGTCGACGTTCCTTTTCATTTGGCATATAAACCTTATGCTTTCGTTTTGCTTACGCTTGTACTTGCGTCGCTAGGCTTAAAACCAGGCTTAAGAGGGGAAGGGGTGGGACTAACTGAGATATTATAGCAGCAGCGGGTCACATGGATATGTGTAACAATACAACAAGCCTTCTCACGCTATGGAGACTGAGGTTATTTTTACGCGATGACCCCTTCCCCCAGATAGGAGGGGTCACTTGGATTCGTGAGCAAGATTATTCCTAACTACGTTTGAAAGTGAAGAGGCCATTCAGCGATAAAATGAGTACTTTAATACCCAATGGAATTAAAGCTTATGAACAGACCAATTCCCGCCATTCTTGAAAGCTATGACAACTGCTATTCTGGAGACTATCAGAATAACGAGTTCGACAAACTGCTACGATAAAGCGGTCGAAATGGCGCCCTTCCCCCCCCCCTAAAAAAACCGGTTTCTACGGGAGGGGGGGAGATCTCAGCGATTTTCCTGACAATGGAAAAACTGCTGTTTGACAGTTGGCCCGCCCCCTTCTCCTCCGTCATTGACTTGGAGTCTAAAACAAACGAATTTGAAACAGTCTAGCTTTCTTGAATTTTGTTGTAAATTAATGTTACGATGTAATTCAACCGAAAGAAACAAGGCACAAACCCAGCTTCTTTAATAAACATCTAGTCATGTTCTCACTAATAAGGAGTGAGTCTCATGAGCAATACAGTAATTATCCCTAATAAACTACAGTAACTTAAGCCCACCACAGATTATAACTTAGCTCAACACTGACATAATCTCACAGTTGTCTCCAAGTCTCCTTAAAATTGTAGAGGTGTCGTGGCCAAGTGGTTAGGGTGCTGGACTTGTAATCCGGTGTCCCGGGTTCAAGTCCTACACCCTGCCACTCACTGGATTTGTTCTCGGCTGCCCCCTAGTACAACTCCTCGGCTGTGCTCTGTAAATAGCCCACTGGTCTGCCACCTGCCAGTGGGGATTTTTAAGCACTTAGTCTAAATTGCGGCTGAAAAGCTCCTAAGGGGGAGCTTCAATTCATGTATTTAAAATGAACAATCTTCCACAGGATCTCTCTGTCGGTAGAGCTTTTCAGACGATCAGTCGCTCCCGACAATAACAACAACAACAACAACAATAACAACTATTACTACACGACTGAGTCTTTATATTTATTTACAAAATATTCTGGAACATTGCGGAGGCTTGCGACACATCTATTTTGGTAATATTACGTATTAGTATAATTTCAGAGCTGAGCAAGGAGTTTCCAGCAATCTGATTGGTCGAGCGGTTCCTTATATGACGCTATTTAAACCGCTCCACGTGGTTTATATAAAATGTTAAAATAAAATGTTAATAAATGTTACTAAAATGTTAGGATTTTAGAAATTTCTCTGTTGTTCAGCTCTGAAATTATGCTAAAACAATTATTCACCTCAGGTTCAGTGAATATTGTCCAATAATCCCCTCGACTTCGCCTCGGGGATTATTCGACGATATTTACCTCACCTTTGGCGAATAATTGTTAAATATAACTAAATAACGTAACAGAATGTACCAGAGAGTTCCAAGGTGTGAAAGTAGAAAGTTCGTGTATGTATGTCAGCACGACTAGGTGCATGTCAACACGACACGATTCCCGCGCCATTACTAGTGTATGGTAATCGGTCAATGCACGCCATCGCAATGTTATAAAACATCTTCTTAACTTGCCATCGATAACCTGGAATACTGAATGTGTATAATATGGGATTTAGAGCGCATTTTGATAAATAAAAGAGGAGTATGGTATCTTGAGTTATGAACGAAATCTGCTCGCTGTCACAGTCGCTGAGATAGAAGACGACGCGAGTGACAGAAAAAGGAAGATAACACAATACAAATGTCCCAACTAGTAGGAAAATGTTTTTTGCGAAAGAACACTCCCGTCTTCGAGCCAATTTAAACGTGTCTCCTGATTGAATAAGAGGTTCTCGAACTTCACTGGCGAGTAGCGCCTTGTTGAATTTTCGGATTATCATGAACATGCGCATATATAAAACCAAGATGACAACCAGTTCAAATAGAGGAAGGAAATAAAAAACCAGTCGAACTGCTCTTGTGTCATGAAAGGAAATGAGCAGAGCGGTAACTGATCCATCCAACCAAATGAGAAAGATGTATAAATTCAAAGCCACGCTACTAAACAGCTTCTCTCTTCGCAAAGGCATCTCTAAGGCCACGTACCTTTCCAATGTAAGAAAGAGCAGAGTACATCTTGAAGCTGTAGCTGCTATGACCATCACTGATCTAGTTGTGACATACTGCGCAGTTGGTGCTTCGCTCATTAGCAAAAAGCTTGCTTCCTCGCCTACCCAATAAAGGCTTATCCAAAGAGGTTCACCTACGAGTCCTACCATCAGGTCAGCGATGGCAAGGTTCATCACAAGGCAGTTGGAAACGATCCGTAACTCGTTACGTGGTTTCTTAGACAAAATCACGATCACCAGAAGGTTCTCAAATGTAGTGATAACGGAGATTATGGCTATCACAGGTGGAAAAAGTCCATTGAGTTTTTCTTCCTCAGGCGTAGCGGGAGAGGTTTCATTGTTCTCTGGCATCCTGTTCTGTTAATGTTTAACTAGCTTGATGAGAAAATAAACCAAGTAAAAACTGGCATTGATAAAGATAATAAAAACAAAAACTTATGATTAAGCGAAAAAATGCTTTCCCGGATATTAAAGCATCCAGATTCTAAATGATCTTCTTCGATTCAGACTCTAAATTGCTGAGCGAGTCGCTTGATTGATGTAATGTTCTGTTTGTCGGGGCATATCAGAAACAAGTATTCATTATGTTATACATCAGAATCTAAGATGCCTTCAGATTGTCACGAGGCACGGCACAGCGCAACTGTCCGACAGTTATATAATGAGCAGAATTATACAACAATCTTTTGATTCTAAGTCAAGATCTTTAAGAGGACAGAGGTCCTCAAAGAGATTTCTCACTTTTCCCTTGTCATTATCTATTACTGAACAGAACCATTGTGGCATTGGATATCGATTTGTTAAATATAACTTTTGGTATTTATAGACATGGTGTTAGTAAAATCGGTTCCAGTTACCACGCAAAGGAAGTTACAATTTGAAGCTTTCGCTTTGTTAAAAAATAATTAAAGGATTCTTTGTCATAAGTCTCCACTCTACGCATAATAATGAAAGTCAATTCGGTTTTTCTTAGGACACTGTTCAACTCCCAAAGCTTATAAACCGGATTCAACAATATGTCGTAACAATTTTTGACGATCATAAAACACATAAAAAAAGTTGTAACTACGTAATCGGATATTCAGCCATAATATTTTAACTTGTTTATCAGAGAAATTGTTTAGAAAGTAAAACCCTTTGTTCGGCAGACAAACGCTTACTGATACAACAGTGTTTTGATCGTTGTAAGTATGAATAAAACTGAAAAAAATGCATTAATAATCAAATAAACGTTTGTCTGTTGAAGTGTTGTTTTATATCAAATTCTACCCAGGATACATCTTGGCAGAGAGCACAAATCATCACACGAACATTAATTCAAAGTTCACATCGGTCACACTTACTTGAGCTGTAAAACATCAGAAACTCCGCGTATTACAAAGAAAATGAGAGCGCATAAAGGGTCTTTTCAGTTCATTTTAACTGTTTTAAAAAATCGAATTAGAATGTATTTGTAGTGCATAAGCACACTACAAGAACATGCCTATTGCATGTGAATGATAAGTAGACATAAGTGACGCTCACGAGAAATGTCTCAGACATGTGTTGCACTCAACGAACATGATATTTTCATGAGGTATTCTATTTTCATCAATGCCCTCAAACAAAGCCTTTTAGAGTGCACATAAACAAACAAAACAAAAAACACACTATCAAAATTGTTGACAGAACAAATGATACAACCATGCTGCTTTCAAAATTTTCAGAGGCTTTGCTTCAACTCTGCCCCTGCTTTCAGCAACAGAAGTATTGTCTGAGCATCAAAATGTATGGCTTGCAGTAAATCGAAAAGAAAAAGAAAATGAAATTGAGAGAGACTGAGACAGGAAACGAAAATACGAAAGTGAGGAGGAGAAGGCGAAAATGTTGGTCGGCTATACTACATTTTCATGATATGCTTACTAGCTAAAAGTCACAGTGCTGTTTTGTTCACGCAGCCAGTAATAAATATCCACCGAGTTACTCAAAAAGGCGCTTTTGAAACCAAACGGGTAACTTTTCCACCGATTTGAGCGGTGAGTTTTGACCTGCTTCGAGCAAAAGTGTTGGCATAACAGGGAAAAAAAGGGTTGGGATATTTCCTCCCTGGATAATCAGTGAAATGAATAATTTCTCGAAACAAAAGAGGGGGCAGGGTAAGGTAGAGAGCAATTTCACTAAATCGCACTAAGAGTTTGCAAAGAAGTATTTTTCATTTTACACTTGCTGTTTTGCGAAGTATTTGATAACAATCAATCATCGACTGAAGTTGATTTCCGCGTATCCATTTGGCTGCCACATGGTTATAACTAAGATAGACAAATTTAGCAGCTGGTTAACTATGTTTTAAGGTTTTAAAGATTTCATTTGATTTTGATCTGGTTTTCCGCGGGCATCAAAAATCTTCGCTCAAATTTCAAGTTTTGAATTCAAACTTCAAGTTTTGAGTTGAGCCTGACGCTTGACTGACCTAAAGGTCACACATGCGTACTTCAAGCCTGACCAGCTTTCTTTGCTAGTGGACACAACATATGTTGTGGTTTGTCCAAGCAAATGCTTGATAACATGTTGGGAACAAATGCAAGAGGGCTCGATGGAGTTGATCCTTAGCCTCGGCTGAGCTGTCTGGCGAATTTTTGGAATAGGTGAAAATCCCGACTGGATGGCACAATGCACATGAATTCACCGTTCCCCTGAAGTCATGTGATCACACAAAACCCTTTGCACCCCCCCCCCCCCAACCCCACCTCCGGTGGCAACAGATGATGACTGGTTCCCAATCTGGATATGTATTATTGCTGAACATTTTTTTCGCCTTCTCTTTTAATTTCTTTTGCATTTTTTGTTTCTTTTTTTATCAATCTCACTCTTCTGCAATACATTTCTGCCACACATTTTGATCCATAGACATCAGCACTTCTGCCGCTAAAAGTAGCAAACTATGGTTAAGTGGAGGCGAAGCCTCAGGCAATCTCGACAGGAGCTATATGGTTATATTCTTATGTTGAAATTGCCCCAATAATTTGTTCTGGCAATAATTTTGATAGTGTTATTTTTTGGCTGTCTGTTTGCTTATGTGACCCTAAAAACCGGTTTTCAGATTTTGTGTCCCATGAAATATAAAAATAAATTAAAAAGCCCCTAGTGATTACAAGAAGATTAATCTATAATTATGTTATGTCTTTGTAGTTCCACATTTAATTGTACACGCACTGACAAGACAATTCCCGTGAGCGTCACTTGACCAAGTGGAGTCTAATGTTTACTTAACCATCACGTTCTTGTAGTGTGATTGTAGACGACACATTCTATTTCGATTTTATAATCAGTTTAAAATAATTGAAAAGACCGTTTATGCGTTCCGATCTTCTTTGTATCAAGAGGAGTCTGTGATGTTGTACAGCTCAAGTAAGTGTGATATGAAATTGAAATTAACTTCTGTGTGATAATTTGCGATGTCTGTCCCGAGCGACCCTGCGTAGAAATTGGTTCTAATCAATAAAAATTTAACGAAATTTTTTTTTTTTTACTTTTTACTTCATTGAATTTTGAAAACCCTCATGCTTATGATATAAAAACACGGTAATATCGATAGGCAGTTGTCTGCTGAACGCAAGGTTTTACTTTCTGAACATTTTGGGCAATAAACAAGTTAAAATATTATGGTATCAATGCTTTTTTTTGCATTTGTCGTCAAATCATCGTTGCGCCATGATATCGTTGAAATCTGGGTTACAAGCTTTGAGGTTACACAGTGTACCAAGGAGATGTCAATTGACCTTTTAGATGAATCATGCATAAAGTGGAGTCCTTTTTATTAACCAAAACAAAAACTTCGTAATATCCTCTAGACGGTGATTGGAACCGATTTCACTTATCAGTTTCAAATGATACCATATGCCGGCATGTCTAAGTCTAAAAATATCAAAAAGTTATAACATATCAACAATCAAAATCATATTACCGTAATAGTAAAAGTAATAAATCAAATGTACGGTAAAAGTGAAAAAGGTATTTGATACATCTGTTCTCTAATAGATCCCTAATAAGAATCGAACAAAAACAGTATTGTATAAATATCAAAAACTCTAAACTGTTGATGTGTCTCGAGACAAGCTGAAGGCATATCTTGGACTTTGATGGATCAGGCACGTGCAAACATAAAATGAATAAAGGCTGATAGTTTCGAAAGAAACTGTTTGGGGCTGCGTCGGTGGGAGTAACGAAATAATTTGGATATATCAACAAAGTTGAAATGGTAAATTGGCTACCGTAACGATTACAAAAGCTGACGTTTCGAGCGTTAGCCCTTCGTCGGAGCGAATAGAGGAATTGTGGGTTGTGTGTGCTTTTAAAGGCAGAAAATGGAGCTACGTTATTGGTGGGAACATGGCAACGAGAAAAACAAGAATAAATTAGTGGAATGAAAAGCGTTCGTTGATCCCTGTGGGATTTAGACTGCCGGTTTGAAAGATGAGCTTTTGTTCAAGATTTTTACGGCTTTCCGTGCTACCTAAGTGTAAGGAAAGACCGCAGATTGCCATATGTTGCTTAGAATGATTAGGTAAATTAAAATGTCTAGCGACTGGTTTCGATGTGTCCTTGTCATTCCTTTCCACGTCTCGAAGGTGTTCTCGGAATCGGTCACCTAGTCTTCTGCCTGTTTCGCCGATGTATATCTTTTTGCAATAAGTGCAAGTTATGCAATAGATTACATTGGCGGAGGTGCACGTGAAGTGATCGGTGATCTTAATGGATCGTTTAGGTCCCGATATTTTATCAGTGTTGTGAATGAAAGGACACGTTTTGCATCGTGCACGAGCGCATTTAAAAGTGCCTGGTTGGTCATTAGTCTGAAAAGAACTTCTGACCAAAAAATTGCCTATGTTTTTGTCGCGTTTGAATGAAATGAGCGGAGGCTGCGAAAAGATAGTGCTTGTCTCTGGATCGTTTTGAAGTAATTTAAAGTTTTTAAGAATGATGGATTTAACTGAGTGGTTGTGAGGGTGAAACGTGAGAGTGAATGGAATGCGGTCGGAATCTTCCTTATGCGACGTTTGTAGTGCTGAATGTC